AAATATGAAAAATGTGTATATGAACACATGGTTATTTTAAAACACTTGAATATAATGGAGTATAGAACTATAGAAAGCACACAGTAAGGAGTCCTACTTTCCCATCCCTCCAATCCCAAACCCCTTGCCAAATGTGGCCACTACTAACAGATATTTTAATTGCACTTACAAGTGTACAGATGGGTATATGTGTATCTATATATAGTTTTTGTTTTGTTGTTTTACATAAATGGAATCATCATTTACATATTGTCATATTGTTCTGCAACTTGTTCTTTTCCACATGGTGTCTTTTTTTTTTTTTGTCAAGACAGAGTTCTACCCTATGCCCTGGGCAGAGTGCAGTGGCATTATAGCTCACGGCAAACTGAGACTCTGGCTGCAGGCATCCTGCTGCCTCAGCCTCCCAAAGCCATTGGGATTACAGGCACTTGCCACAGGGCCTGGCTGGGATTTTTATTTTTTTCGTGAGTCAGGGTCTCACTCTCACTCAGACAAGTCTCAAACTCCTGAGTTCAAGCAATCCTCCCACCTCAGCCTCCCACAGTGCTGGGATCATAGGCATGAGCCACCAGGCCTGGCTTGTGATGTCTTGAAGAACTTTCCATTGCCTTCTTCCTTCTTCTTCCTCTTCCTTCTTCTCTTTTTTATTTTTATTTTTTTAAACAGAGTTTCATTATGTCACCCTCAGTAGAGTGCCATGGGGTCACAACTCACAGCAACCACAAACTCTTGGGCTTAAGCGATTCTCTTACCTCAGCCTCCCAAGTAGCTGGGACTGCAGGCACCCACCACAATGCCTGGCAATTTTTTGTTGCGTTTGTCATTGTTGTTTAACTGGCCCGGGCCGGATTCGAACCTGCCACCCTTGGTGTATGTGACTGGTACTATAATAGGGTGACCAGACGTCCCGATTTTGGCGGGATGGTCCCACTTTTCAACAATTTGTCCTGTTTCCTGCAGTGGTTTAAAAAAGTCCCGATTTTTGGAAAGAATGCACTAATGGGCTGGAGAACAAGAAGGGAATATATGGTTTTCAGCTGCCATATGGCTATTTCACCAGAATATGAGTTTTATGTTATTTTTGTTAATTTTATAATGTTAAACTGTAATAAATATTTGCTGAGAAGTGATTATCGAGAACTGCTTATCAAAGTTTGCCTTGTTGTCAGGCCCTGCCCTGCGCTGTCCCCTGCCCCACGCCCCCTCTCTGTCCCCACTCCGCCCCCACCATGTTGTCCCGCCTTACAGATGTTAGAATCTGGTCACCCTATACTATAACCACTGTGCTACGGGCACCGAGCCTCCCTCTTCCCTTTTTTTAAAAATTTGAGACAGGGTCTTGCTCTGTTGCTGGGGCTGGAGTACAGTGGTGTGATCATAGCTCACTGCAACGTCAAACTCCTGGGCTTGAGCAATCCTCCATCCTCCTGTTTCAGCCTCTCAAGTAGCTGGGACTACAGGTGTGCACCACCATGACTTGGTAATTTTTCTACTTTTAGTAGAGACAGGGTCTTACTATGTTGCTAAGGCTTGTCTCAAACTCCTGACCTCAGGCGAACCTCCCACCTCAGCCTCCCAAAGTGCTACGATTTCAGGCTGCGAGCCACCGTGCCTGGCCCTGGTAATTTTTTATGGTGATAAAATATAGATAACAAAAATGTTGCCATTTTAAGTGTTTGATTCAGTGGCATTCATTACATTCACAATGTTGTATAACCGTCACCAGTATGGATGTCCTTCATTATCCCAAACAGAAACTCAGAAACCATTAAGCAGTTTACTCCCCATCCCCTTCTCCCAGCCCTTGGTGAGCCTTACCTTCTGTCTGTAATTTGCCTATTCTAGGTATGTCATGTACGTGGAAATATGTGAGGATCACTTGAGCCCAGGAGTTTAAGACCAGCCTGACCACCAAAGTGAAACCCTGTCTCTTCAAAATGTTTGTTTTACAGACAGGGTCTCACTCTTGCTCAGGTTGAACTCATGAGCTTAAGCAATTCACCCACCTCAGTCTCCCAATGTATCTTAGGGTTACAGACCTGAGCCACCATGTCCAGCTCCACAAAAAGTACTTAAAAAATTAGCCGAGTGTGGTGATGAGTGCCTGTCATCCTAGATACTTGAGAGGCTCACGCAAAATGATCACTTGAGCCTAGGAGTTGAAAGCTACCGTGAACTACGATTGCATAGTGGTATCCTTGTTCAAAAAAAACAAAAACAAAAACACCCTTCCAATCTAATAGTCAAAAACGTTTTCTTATTACCGTGCTTACTTTGCTGATTGCTTGAAAGGCTGAGCCACCTCTTCATATGTTTATTGTCATTTGCATATCCTTGACCTACTTTTTTTTTTTTTTGGTAGAGACAGAGTTTCTCTTATAGCCCTCAGTAGAGTGCTATGCTGTCACAGCTCACAGCAATCTCCAACTCCTGGGTTTAGGTGATTCTCTTGCCTCAGTCTCCCGAATAGCTGGGACTACAGGTGCCCACCATAACATCTGGCTATTTTTTTGTTGCAGTTTGGCCAGGGCCGGGTTTGAACGCGCCACCCTTGGTATATGGGGCCAGCACCCTACTTGCTGAGCCACAGGAGCCACCCCCTTGACCCACTTCTAATTAAATTACTTTTACTTGACATTATGGAATGTCTGTGTAGTTTGTGATCTGTTGTGCAGCTTCATTTACAGTGTCTTCCTGTTAAACAATTTTTATTTTTTATGTTGTAAAAACTGCCATTGTCTCCCTTTGTGCTATTTGAGTTTGGGTTCCATTTATGGAGCCTTTCCTCTCCTAAAATGATTTTAAATGTGTGTGTTTTTTTAATAATCTCATTCTTTTGCCTTGGGCAGAGTGTCGAGGCATCATCATAGTTCACAGCAACCTCAAACTCATAGGCTGAAGCAATCCTCCTGCCTCAGCCTCCTGAGTAGCTGGGACCACAGGCACCCACCACAATGCCCGACTATTTTTTGGTTGCAGCCGTCATTGTTGTTTGGCGGGCCCAGGCTGGATTCAAACCCACCGGCTCAGGTGTATGTGGTTGGTGCCTTAGCTGCTTGAGCTACAGGTGCCAAGCCTATTATTTGGAGTTTTTATATACAGTGATTTTAATCTGGATTTTCTTTTTCATTTGTTTTGTTTACCTTTTATTGTGGAAAACCTCAGGCATATGTACACACGTGTTATTTTACGACATACCCCACAGGTCCTATTTCCTCTGTAAAAGTTTCAGCATATTATATATAAAAGATAAGTACTCTTTTTTAAAACACAACTAGCTGGGTATGGTGGCTCACACCTGTAATCCCAGCATTCTGGGGGGCCAAGATGGGAGAATTGGTTGGGGCCAGGAGTTTGGGACCAGCCTGGGCCATGTAGTGACAACCCATCTCTACTAAAAAAAAATTTTTAAGAATGAAAAAATACATAACTATAGTATGATTACACATAGAAGGAAACTAGTAAGTAGTTCCTTTGTATCACTAAATATCCAATCAGTGGCCATATTTCCAATAGAAAGGTCACATTTTATTTGTACTGGGAGCAAAATAAAGTTGCCAAAATGTAACTAGGTGATGTATTTCTTAAATTAATAGCTGTGCTCTCTGTCCTCTACATGTCCTTTAAATTGTCTTTTAGTTAGACACGACCTAGAAGCAGGGTCAGAGTCAAATTTGCACTTTCTGGCAAATCTTGTTCATAGCCTAGTTCACCTGGATTTTATTTTTGTATGATCACATATAAAAATATCATAAGGTAGGGATAAAACTTGTTTTTTCCCCTCCAGATAATGGTTAATTACATGTTGATTGCCATGTCAATTACTGTACAGTTCATTCTTTCCTCCCAATAATTTGAAATGCCACTGTTATGTCACACCACACACACATACACACTCCTCTCTATATAATTTGGGTTCTCGTTAGAACTCTTTATTGTATGCTCTTACCGTCTTGTTTGAACTTGAGCTGCACAGCTTTAGATCTTGTAGATTTATAGTTTGTTATGTTATCTAATATAATAGATGTGTTAAAATTTTTTTGTCATTTTTAAGTAGTTTTGGCTTTTCATGTGCTTATTGTCTCCCATACTAATTTAATAACTTTTAAAGTAAAAGACATTATTTATTATAATTTACCTCTTTGTTTTTATTTTATTTTATTTTATTTTTTTTTGAGGCACAGTCTCACTTTGTTGCTCTTGGTAGAGTACTGTGGCATGATAGCTCACGGCAACCTCAAACTCTTGGGCTCAAGTGGTTCTCTTGCCTTAGCCTCCCAAGTAGGTGGGACTATAGGCAGCTGCCACACAACACCCAGCTGTTTCCTTTTTTTTGGAAACAGGGTCTTGCTCTTGTTCAGGCTAGTCTCGAACTACTGAGCTCAAGCAATAACTCACCTTTGGCCTCCCAGAGTGCTAGGATTATAGGTGTGAGCCACTACACCTTGCCGGGCCTTTATATCTTTTTCTTTTTTCCAAATTAATATGAGCATACAAATTTTGCGGTTACATTGTTTTGAATTCTAACGTAAAGTTCAAGTTGTAGTTGAGCCCTTCCCCCAGGGGAGTTGCTAAACACCCTCACGTTGTGCACAGTAGGTGAGATCCCACTAATTGCCTTCCCTCCTCCTGCCAATCACCCCCCAATTTAACAATTTTTAATATGTATGTTAAGATTTTGATTTTGACTTTGTAAATTTTATAGAGTAATTTGGAGACAAATAGTATCTTTGTAGTAATGAATCTTTCCATTCAGGGATATGGTTTTATTGGATTTATTTTCAGATATTTTGCTATTTTTCCCTACAATTTTTAAAAAGGATCTTTGTTTCTTCATGCCTTTTTCTGATGATGGCTGGTATTTAGGAAAGCTTTGGTTTTCATAAGTTTATCTTGTATCTGACTGGCCACCTTACTGAACTTGCTTTTTTAGGGTTATAAATTTTTTTTGATTTCTTGGTTGGCAACTGTTTTTTGTTTGTTTGTTTGTTTTTTAGGCTCATGCAGAGTCAAGTAAAACTTGGTTGGCAGGGAAATTCACTGAACTCAGATTGCTACTTGATGAAGAGGAAGCGTTGGCCAAGAAATTCATTGATAAAAACATGCAGCTTGCCCTCCAGGGGTACAGGGAGCAAGCTGAGTCTTGTGGAGCTCAAATTGACATCATAAATGATCTGTCCAACAGGGTCTGGAGAATCACTCAGGAACCCAATCCTGTACTGCGGCTGCAGGTAATATTGGGGTTTCTGTTCTTAAGCTGCGACCTGCCATTTCTTCTCGGTTATTGTGGCTTTGAGCACAGTGTCAGCACACTAAGCAAATACACAAAGTATTGCCTTCTCAGCATGTAGACTTTCTTGCCCCCACACAACTGGCCAAAGAATATACATTGTTAAGAAGATGATATACATCTTGGGCTAATTAAATAGTATTAACAATCACAAATGAAATAATATTAGCTGCCACAGGGCCTCTGTGTTCTTTTTTTTTTTTTGAGACAGAGTCTCACTTTGTGGCCCTGGGTAGAATGCCATGCTGTCATAGCTCACAGCAACCTCTAACTCCTGAGCTCAAGTGATCCTCTTGCCTCAGCCTCCTGAGGAGTCGGGACTATAGTTGCTCACCACAACGCCTGGCTAGCTTCTAGAGATGGGTCTTGCTTTTGCTCAGGCTGGTCTCAAACTCCTGACCTCAAGAAATCCTCCCAGAGTACTAGGATTACAGGTGTAAGCCATCACACCTAGGTTAGGGCCACTGTGTTCTGAGTGCTTTATGTATTTTACCTCTAATACTCACTAGAACTCTGCAAAGTAGTACTGTTGCCCCATGTCATGAATGAGACATTACAGCCCAGGGGGGTGAAGTGACTCACCCAAGCTCACATAGCTGGTAGGTGGCAGAGCTGGCATCAGAACCCAGGTCTGTCTGATTCTACACCCACAAGACACATTACCTGGCCTTCTGCCTGTATAGTCATAAGTTGAGATACCCATACTGAAAAGACAGGTGTCTTTCCAGCAATGAGTAGATTTCAAAAGCTGAGTCACAGTTTGCTGAGAGAAAAGGATAGTATTCCTTGGCTATTGGGCTTTGTTGAGGTCATTAAGGATGGTATTCCTGTCTTCCAGGAACCATGGCAGAAATTCCTATCTTGTGTCAATACTCCTGTGCATTCACCTGTGCATTAGGATTGCTTTTCCACTAACATAACTCTCCCTGTTTCCTTCTTTGCCTTGGCTTCTGGGAAGCTCAAAGTCAGATCTGTTTCGACTAGTGAGATTAAGACTTCATGGCATACATTTTATGTGTGATTTTCTCTTTGCTTCATTATTATCCAAGTATAAAAAAGTCTTGTAGTATTGGATGACCTTTGAAGACACTTTGAAGGCTATTGGACAAGGAAGGATCCAATTATAGCTGGTACCGAATCTAAGCCCAGATTAGCTGGGGGTTTGCCTGGAAAATAAGACAGACAAACCAGTCAGTACAAAACCAGCCAAGCCAGTCCCTGGTGGATATTTCCACTCTTGTACCTTCACATGTCCTCAGTTCTGTGTCTCACTGTCAGCTATTTCAGTCAAGTTCTGGGCACAGTGGAGATTGTACTTTAGCAAGACACACAAAGCAGTTCATTTGTTTGTTTGTTTTTAAATGATGGTAATTTTTAAGGATATCTAATACAAAGGAATGCTTCCATGGAGAAGAATGCTATTTTCCCACCCTAAAACACTTTTTCAGTGTTTCATCATCTCTTTTTACTATGTTGCCCTCGGTAGAGTGATGTCACAGCTCACAGCAACCTCTAACTCTTGGGCTTAAGCAATTCTCTTGCCTCAGCCTCCCAAGTAGCTGGGACCACAGGCACCCACCACAACACCCGACTATTTTGTTGTTGCAGTTGTCACTGTTGTTTAGCAGGCCTGAGCTGAGTTCAAAGCCCCCAACCCCCATGTATATGGCCAGCATCCTAACCACTGAGCTACAGGCGAGGAGCCTATTTTTTTTCTTTCTTTTTTTTTTTTAAGTCTTTTCATTTTTATTACTCAAAAAAGCTTCATTTTCTTATTTAGCTTTCTGACTCTGTGCTGTGCCTTTAATACTTGCACAACGGTGTTCTGCTCCTCAATAAGGAAAGCACACTGGATCCTGTCACAACACATTTAGCACACCTGGAACCACCACAGGCCCTGCTGACAGTTTTCTGCTTTAGACAACCTCATAAGAACTTTAGGTCTCACAGCACGAACCCCTTGAAGTCTGCCTGGGCATACGTCGCACGCAGATTTTGGTCTTTTCCCAACCTTCTTGGTATAAAGGTAAACAATTCTATTACCAGGGGTTCGGGACAGCCTGGTTTTGTTAGAGGCTGTATTGTAGGAAAGCCTACGACGGTACGTCAAATACTGCATCATTCTGCGTGCCCCTCTGCTGGCTCAAAGTACGGTTCTGAGAGCTCTCGGCTCCTACGTCTCAGATGGCAGCCGATTGTAAAAGGACTAGAGATGAGGAAAAGGATTAACTTCTGTATCTCTAGACAGCATCCCCACTTTTTTCTATTTTCTTATGCCAAGCTACCGATTTTAATCAGCTATCATTCCTTCATTCTGTTTGTTCATTCATTTATTCATCAGTTTATATTGAACCAGACCCCTTGCTGGGCCTGAAGAGCTCATAATTGGGTGGAGAGATAGGCTCAGAAACAGTTATAGACAATATAGCTTAAGCAAGCTAGTAAAACAGTGTTCAAGAAATGCCGAACTCTGGGGGAAGGGGTGTCTTGGAAGACCTCTAGGAAGAGGTGAAGGTGGAGCAGGGGGTGCTCACTGGTGTGTACAGAGGAATGGAGCAGAGGGGACATCCCAGGCAGAAAGGAACCCTGTCCATGTGAGAGCCTGGCAGGCTGGAGAGCTACGTGGGTGCAGCCTGGCCTCAGAGGAGTAGGGACGATAGGGAGGGGGTATTGTAGAAGCAGCTCCACTGGGAGGTCAGGGTTGCTCCAGGAAGAGCCTATATGCCAGGCCATGGAGCTTAGACTTTGCCCTATAAAGAGATAGGAGCCAGGGAAATGTTTTTACCTGAGAGATGAAAGCATTAATGCTGTTTGCAAAGGTTATTTTGGTGACAGGCTAGAGGATGGACTGGGGAAGCCAGGACTAGAAGCTAGAAGGGAATTTGGGAGGAGACTGTGATGTCCAGAAGAACAATGAGGGTGATCTGGACCTGGATAGGGACAGTGAGGATAGGATGAGATAGGCAAAGTGTAAGAGATGAGACAGAGGCCAGGCACGGTGGCTCACACCTGTAATCCTAGCACTCTGGGAGGCCAAAGCAAGTAGATTGCCTGAGCTCAGGAGTTTGAGACCAGCCTGAGCAAGAGCAAGATCCTGTCTCTACTAAAAATAGAAAAACTAGCCAGGCATTGTGGTGGATGCCTATAGACCAGCTACTCAGGAGGCTGAGGCAAGAGGACTATTAAATCCCAAGAGTTTCAGGGTTCTGTGAGCTATGATGATGCCACAGCACTGTACCCAGCATGACAAAGTGAGACTCTGTCTCAAAAAAAAATGAAAAAAAAAGAGATGAGACAGGAATGATGAGTGGATGTAGGGAACGAGAAGAGAGAAACCCAGATGACACCTGGCATGAGAAGTGGGTGGCTGTACTCTGGGTCAGCAAAGGCAAGAAGCACCTGTGCTCATTCATTCATTCATTCCACCATAAATACTTACCAAGAACCTACTATGTGTCGGACCCTGTGGTAGATGCTAGAGTTTGAGGTTACCAGGTGGTGGCATTTGTCCTTTTACAGCCCCCAATCCTAACCCACTCCTTCGAGCCACCTCCCTCCTCCCTGGAGCTGTGCCCTGCTCTCCCTGGACTTCCTGCCAGTGCTCCCACTCTCTGGCCAGCTTCCCCTCCCCCAGCCCTCTGGGTTCCCATAAAACTGAGAGTGGACTCTAAAACTCTCAGCCTTCAGGCTGGATGGGGCTTCATAAGAGGCCATCCCACTGCCCCCTCCCAAGGTACAGCATCCTGCCAGGTGGGGCCTGTCTCTACCCAAAAGCTGGAAGCTGGGCCACTCCACCTGGGGACGCCATCCTCCCACCCCTTCTCAGGCAACACTGCTACCAGCCAAGGCCTGCTCACCTGCGGCAGTCTGCTGCCTCCCAGTTGCTTCCCCAGGACAACCCTCCAGAGAGTGCTGTCAGGGTTATACTGCAAATACGAGAACCTACAGTAACTGTTCTGGGCAAGAAAGGAGTTTATGAAAGAGCACTGTGTACTCACAGGGTCTTCCAGAGGCCAGTGAATCCAGGTGGAAGACAGGGCAACAGGGATGAAGGCAGGCTCAGCGGAGGTTTGCACAAGCGTAGACCCCACTGTGCCCCTGCCAGGAAGGACACCACAGCTCACACTACTGACCCAGAGTGTCCACCACTGCTGTCCCTGAGAGCCACGTATTGCTGTCTGCCTTCACCCTCCTGTTGAATCTCAGGCTTTGGGTTGGGGGTGTCTGGTCACATGTCTGCACCAGTGATGCAGAGGGACAGAGAATGACTTTTCTAGCTTCAGCCTCGCAAGCCACACAACACAGGAAGATATTAAAGAGGTGCTGTCCACACAGAAAACAGGACACATGCCCATGCCCACCGTGGTGGCCACACCTGTCAGTCAGCATTCCCACTGAACTTTCCAGAGTCCTTGGCTTCCTTTTGGGACAGGGCTTCCTACTCCCTCTTTAGGACAACCCCCCAGGGCTCCTTCCCCAGGAAGTCAAGACTAGCCCCTCACCCTTTTTGTCCCTGAGGCAGACTCCTGTCACTGGAGGAGTGTGTCCTGTGTCTGCTAGTGCCATCAGCCTGATTCTTCCCTCTGCCCCCCATGAACTTGGAGGGAGGGAGGGAGGGATCACAGAGCAGCCCTGAAACCCGGCCTCCACTTGTCTCCCACTGGGGCCTGCAGTCTGGCCTCTTCAGGACCTGCTCCAGGGTCAGCCTGGGCTGACCTCAGGTGCCATGGCAGGGGGAGGCCTGAGGTGCTGCCTGGGTCTATCCTTGGCTGTTCAGCGAGGCTGGGACAGGGACCACACACCCAGAGCCACCCTGACCGCGTGTGCCCACGCAGGCGTACACAGCCACTGAGCAGGAGATGCAGCAGCAGATGTGCCTCGGGGAGCTGTGCCACCCCATGCCCCTCTCCTTCGAGCCTGTCAAGAGCTTCTTTAAAGGCCTCCTGGAAGCCATGCAGAGTACAGTACAGACACCACTGGACGTTCGCCTTAAAGAAAGTAAGTTGGTCACACAGCAACCTAGAGTGTCCTTGACTCTCCTAGCACTCTGTCTCTCCTACTCAGAGGCCCTTGGCCAGGCAGGCATGGTGCCCAGCCCACCCTCACGACTTCACCCCTATCCCTCCTGAGGCGGTGTCTTGCCTGTGTCCCACTGCCACTCTGCCCTGCTTCTGCCCCTCAGACTGCTCCCAGTTCCTACCACACTCCACTTCACCAGCTCTGGGCTCCCAGCTGAAAGGACCAACTTTTCCTCCTCCTCTGGCTGGGGCTAAGGCCCAAGCACCCTTTGAGGCAGGCTGGCACTGCTTTGCTCATGTAGGAAGCCCTTCCCTGCTCACTCCCTCTCCCCTCTGCTCTCCCCACCGGGGCCTGCCATATCCTGCCTGGGGATGTCCATGAGATGGGTACATGGACCCCCTCCTTGTCTCTCATACATGCCTGAAGGCCAGGAACCACTTTGGGTTCAGATCCAGTTCCTCATGGGGCCTGGCACAAGGCAGGTATTCAGAAATATCTGTTCATTCATTCATTCAGAACATGCATTGAGCCCCTATTATGTGCCAGGCATAGCAGGGCACAAGACAAAGTTCCTTTTCCCTTTCTGGTACTCACAGTCTTGGGGGCAGGACAGACAACACAAAAACATATGTCAGGGGATGAGAACTGCTATGAAGAATAATGAATCAGTGTAAGACAGAAGACTGAGAGTGACCAGAAGGAGGAGCTGTTTTATGCAGGGCAGTGGGAAAGACTTCTGAGAAGGGGACTATGGGGTGACGGGAAAGAAGCATTCTGCAAGCCCTGTGGGTCTGAAGAGCAGGAGAGCACAGTGATCACATGCATGTCCTCTGGAGCCAAGCCAGGCTCCAAGGCCAGACCTACCACTTCCCAACCCTGCCCTCTTGGGCAGGGCACCTCATTTTTCTGGCCTCTGCTTCCACATCTGCAAAATGGAGACACTAATATAGTCCCCTCACCTTGGTTGCTGGGAGGACCCTTTCCAATGTAACTTTTCTGCCACCTGAATATTCCCAGCTCTTATTTACATTTGTTTTGAGCAAGAAAGAGATTGGGGTTGGTGCTAATTACATGATTACTTATAATTATCCTACAGTTTTAAAAGAGAAAAACATAAATACAAACACACCTGATAATTTTATGACCTATTTTAGGTTACATAAAATAAAGTATTTTTGTTTGTAAGTTTTTTAAGTGTGATACTTCTTGAAACCATCTCCAAGATGAAATCCAGGCTTCCTCTTGCACATCGCACGGGGGAAATTGGTTTCTCTCCTTTTACCTTTGTCATTTCTTCTGCTGCAAACCATGGAATCCTTTGTTGATTTCTTTTTCATTTTGCATTATGAAATGCACCCTCCCATTTAGCATTTCCTCAGTGTCAAAAGATGATGGTCTTCCCTTCTTTCTTGAATTTCTATTCCTCACAGCTGAGTGATGAGATTTCTCCTGTAAGAAAGGAGAAATCTGCACTTTTTCCACACTCTCTCTCTCCTCTAATGAGTAAAGGAGGTAGCTGTTCACAACTGCAACTTCCATCAGGCAGAAGAATAATTTTTTCCACCATTTGTAGGACCTTCTTAGAAATCTGTAATATCCACAGTACTGATCAGCTCGGTCCACTCTTCCCATAAACTTTGTGTACTCTAAAATAACTATAAATTTTTCAAATTGAATGGACTTTTTCTTCCTATAACCAGTGCTCAGCACTGTCACTAACCTCTTATCATGGAATGAGAGGCACATCATTTTCATATCACATTGATAGGCACATAATTCATGTTCCTGAAATACCTTTTTCAGATCACTTAGAAAATCCTTCCTAAAAGCCATAACTGTTTCTGTATTTTCCTTTTAGGCAATTCCCCAGCAAGTTGAGGGCTTGTGTAGAATGCAACCCAAAAATGTGTTGGACGTCTTCCAACATCAGAGCAGAAATAGGAAAATCGTTATGTGGAACCCCAGGATCAGAACGTTAAATGTCCATAGAGTGCTCAGGCATTATACACACTGTGTAAGCATTAGCTATCGTCTTTTTTCCTGTTACATTTGGGGAAAGTGTTCTAGATAGAGGGGGAGGAAGTGCAAAGGTCCTGAGGTGAGGGAGGAGCAAGCTTGACATGTGGCAGATGAATGGACAGGAGTGGGTATGGAGCAGTGAGGCAAGGAGGAAGAGAGAGATGGAGGCACGGGAATTCCAGCCTGGAAAGTGGGCAGAAGGAAGTTGCCCTTTTCTGAAGTGGGAAAGAGCATTTAGAATTGGAGAAAATGAGGTGTTAAGACCTGTTAGATTTGAGAAGTTTGACCTGCTACATGTCTTATCAGATAGGCATAGGACAGTGGATTCTAGAGTTCTGAGGAGAGGGGAGAGGCATTCAAAGAGGTGGGTTTCCACCTGAGATGGGGTGCCTGGAGTGATGGGGGGTGGAGAAGGGGCCACCTCAGAGGAGCTGGTCAGAGAAGGCAGGTCTTGGGAGGTCTTAAAGGCACTCCAGCCCAAACAGCTAACAGGAGGCAACATGGTCCCAGGCAAAGGGAACAGCAAGTGCCAAGGGCCCCAGGAGCTCCCCTGTACCCTCTTTTGTTGAATGGCCTCTGAGGACTCAGCTCTGATTTCTTGTTTTCCATCTTTATACTGGCATTCACATGTCTGCCTTGGAGTTGCCTCCTATCCTTGCTTGCTGCCCTAACTGACTTCACTCTGTGGTCCTGGAGTTTTCCTGTTGCAGTGAATTTGCATTACCTACTTAAATTTGCAAGTGATTGTGCTCCCTTTGCAGCACATATACTAAATTTGCAAGTGATTCTTCTTGGGGAGCAATTATGCGACTCTCCAGCTAGGCAGTATTTTTAGTATGTCTTATTTGTGCTGCTTGCATGAGCACCAGGCACTCACTTCCCACAATTCTGTTACAGACATGAACTGCCAGCTGTCGGGCTTCAGCACCAACCCAGGTGCCCTGTTGAAAATCAGCCCCTCACCAGAGCGATCACTCTTCTTAAAACGTAAGACCCCTGGGAGTGGGAGAGGGTGGCGAGGGTGGGATGCTGGGTGGTAAAGGGTCATGGAAATGGAGGTCCCCCTTTTTTTCTTGTTAAGAAACTCAGTGCGTTTTTTTAAACTTAATTATTATTAATTTTAAAGATATGTAAAGCATACATGTTCATTGTATTAGACAACAGAAGAAAAGAAAAGAAAAGAAAAAAGTGGCTCGGCGCCTATAGCTCAACCGGCTAAGGCGCCAGCCACGTACACCTAAGGTGGCGGGTTCGAATCCCCAGCCCGGACCCGCCAAACAACAATGACGGCTGCAACCAAAAAATAGCCGGGTGTTGTGGCGGGCGCCTGTGGTCCCAGCTACTTGGGAGGCTGAGACAGGAGACTCGCTTGAGCCCAGGAGTTGGAGGTTGCTGTGAGCTGTAATGCCACGGCACTTTACCCAGGGGGACAGCTTGAGGCTCTGTCTCAAAAAAAAAAAAAAAAAGAAAAAAGAAAATTACTCATAATCCCACCCTCTCCCATGGATAACTACTATTATTATTTGTCATTTTTGCTTTCTTCGACATACCTAACATATATATAATGTGTTTAATATATCTTTTTATTTTACAAACATCATATCATACCATACATACTGTTTGATAATCTGTGTTTTCATTTACTGATATATTGTGCACATCTTTGTTCGCTTAAAAAATTATATAGGTAATGCATACTTCTTGTAGAAAAGGAGAAATTATAGACATATTAAAAATTGCCTCTCCCAAAGATAAATGCTGTTTATATTTTAGTATATATCCTTTCAGCTATTTTAAAGCATGCTTGAATGCAGATTTTTAAAAATAGGATCATACCATATGTGCTTTCAGAATTTTTTAATTTAACAACTTAGCTTGAACAATTCAATAAATATAAATATTGTCATTACTTTTAAATAATGCATGGTATCGCATTGAATGGATGTATCATATTTAACCAATTCCTCTGTTTAGACTGGTTTACATTTTCATTTCCATAAACACTGAAATGAACATCCATTCTTATACATATTTGTTGGATTAATGAATGAGCAAATGAACACACCTTAGCTCATTTTGGGATTATTTTTTAGGAGTAATTTCTCAAGGTGGAATTATTGGCTATCAGCCTAAAATGATCAGAAGGCTCAGGATCCACTTAAAAGACTTCCTTCAGGCTTGATGCCTGTGTTCAGTGGTTAGGGTGCCAGCCGCATACACCAGGGCTAGTGGGTTCAAACCTGGCCACAGCCTGCTAAACAATAACAACAACAACAACAAAAAATAATCAGGCATTGTGGCAGGCACCTGTAGTCCCAGCTACTTGGGAGGCTGAGGCAAGAGAATCACTTAAGCCCAAGGGTTTGAAGTGGCTGTGAGCTGTGAGAGCAACATAGTGAGACTCTGTCTCAAAAAAAAAGACTTCATTCAATTTCAAGTGTGAGGACAGCCCTCTGGGGACACAAGGACACCAAAGGGTGGTGATTAGGGCTCCCAGCATGGGGAAAGTGAAGATTGTTTTTTATAGGTAAAAAAGCAGAGGTGCCAAGCAGAATTACAACATTTTCCATTCAAAGTCTAACATATGAATAGAAGATTTGATTGGCTACTACTGATTACACTAAGGGGATTGCTTAACATTCTCTTGTAAATAGGTAACAGTGGTCTAGGTTTGAATAAAGAATAAAGAGTCTGGTTAATGTATAATATCTCAACAGGAAAGTCAGCAAGCAGTGGTTATGCACCAGAGAAGAAAAAATAACCATATTATGTGACTCAGTTTGCAGGGTTTAACTTTTCCCTTTGGTATAATGAATTCAGAAGGTCCTGAAATGTCATTTTCTTTTTACATTGGGCATGCATTTTTATTTTTATTTTATTTTATTTTTCTTTCTTTCTTTATTTATTTTAGACACTTTGTTGCCCTTGGTAGGGTCCTGTGGCATCACAGCTCACAGCAAGCTCCAGCTCTTGGGCTTAGGCAATTCTCTTACCTCAGCTTCCCAAGTAGCTGGTACTACAGACACCTGCCACAACGCCTGGATTTTTTTTTTTTTTATTGTTGTTGCAGTTTGGCGGGGGCTGAGTTCAAACCCGCTACCCTTGGTATATGGGGCCAGCTTCCTACCCACTGAGCCAGCCTATTTTCATTTTATTTTTGAGACAGTGTCTCATTCTGTTGCCCAGGCTAGAGTGCGTTCAGCCTAGCTCATAGCAACCTCAGACACCTGGGTTCAACTGATCCTCTTGTTTTAGCCTCCCAAATAGCTGGGACTACAGGAACCTACTACAATACCCAGCTAATTTTTTATATTTTCAGTAGAGGCGAGGTCTCATTCCTGCTCAGGCTAGTTGCAAACTCCTGTGCTCAACCTTTCCTCAACCTTGTCCTCCCAGAATGCTAGGATTACAAGTATGAGCTACTTCGCCCAGGGAGGCATGCATTTTTAAAGTAAACTGTACTTGAGACATGAAATGCATAAAGAAAAATGCACAGATCAATGGTGTGCATCTCAATGACTTTTTAAAAGTGAAAGCATTCTGTAAACCTCCTTCAGATCAAGAAACAGAAATTTCCACTCCCCAGATACCTTCCTCATGTCCTCTTTTATTTGCCATCTCCAAAGGGTTTCTACTCTCCTGACTTCTTTTTTTGCAGTTTTGGCCACAACCAGGCTAGAACCCACCACTCCCGGTATATGGGGCCGGCGCCCTACTCTCCTGACTTCTAACACTGTTAGTTTTGCCTGTTTTTTGAACTTTATATATAACTAGATTATTTAGACTGTACTTTTTCTCCTCAACACAGTATTCATGAGATTTATCCATGTTATTGTGTATAA